CTTCTGTTCCTTTGTTTGGGAAGAGGGGGTCATTTAAGCATACCCAAACTCCTCCCAAAGGAATGAGCCTCAAGCATACTGACAATAGGTAGCTCCTCCCACCTTACCCCCAGTAAAGAACCTTCTAGAAATGTAAAAGGTGGTGTGGTGGTAACCCTACTCCTACCCTTCTCTCCCAGTGCCTCCTGAGTTGTGCACTGCCCCAAGAAGGTCCAGGAAGGACACAGAGAGCTAGTCAAGCATGTCCCCAACACATGTGCAGAGCTGAAGTTCCCTGAAGAAGCCACCTTGCTAATAAAGATTCCATAGACTGTGTGACCTGGTTGACTTCTTAAAGGTCAGTATCAGCTTGAGAGTCAAAATTACCTTTGGCTATCTTAAGATATTATTAAAAAAAAATAGCCACTCACTTTTCACCTTTGAGTCTGACCTGACATTCTAATAATGGTTAGATAGACTTCCCAGAGTAGATGGCTAAGCCTGCCTAGAAGACCTCTTGCCTCTGCCAACCTTAAAACTAAGAACAACATCTAAAACCTACAGAAAAGATGTCCCCACTCTGCTGTAACCCACTCCCACCAATATGGGTGCTAGACAGAAGTGATGGCCACAAGAGGAAAAAAGATAAAATCCTGTAATTCAACTCCCCAACTCCACTAGCCTCTCTTAAGATCAAGTAGTCAGAGGCCAGGGGTTATCACAGGAGGCTTTGAAGTCAACCACCTCCCTAAAGCTTAATCCTTCCTTTACTCAAGAGCAAGCCACACCCTAAACATCAGCTAGGCCTGGTGCTGGGAGTTCACACAGGTATCTCTTTAACTTAACAAGACAAAGACCTAGACCCAAGAGCTGCACCCTAGACGTCTGATAGAGCGAAACCAGGAATTTCACATAGAAATTCTTTACCAGCTAGAGCAGGTAATCTCTCTAACTTAACAAGACAAAGACCCAAGCCCAGGAACCCATCCCAGGGACCAAATGGACCTAAAGCTAAAAGTTCCTCAATAAATAATCTAACTCCAAATTTTGACCTGTGCTGGCAGAGTGGCTCAAGTAGTAGGATGTCTGCCTAGCAAGCTTAGCAAGTGTGAAGCCTTGAGTTCAAACCCCAGTACCACCAAAAATAAATAAATAACAAAACCTGACCTGTGGCTCTCACTCTAGAGGCAACCCCCTTAAAGTCTGTCGAAAACGTAAGGCTTTCCTAATAAACTATACTATCATTTTTACCATAATTTTTGCATCGTGCTTGAATTCTTTTCCTACCAGACACAAGATCCAAGGTACTTATCTGTGATATTTTTCTGGTAACAGTCTCATTTCCCAAGACACCAGAGGTTCGTCCAAGGCTCAAGGGGCAGCATGGCCTACTAACAGAGTGAAAAGGTAGCTGAACCTACTGGTTCTGGGTCCCCCTCCAAGAACTGGGGTGGGAGGGACTAGGGTACATCCCACAGGTCCCCTCCTGTCACCCATCATGCTGCCTTAACAGCCTGCATTCCAGAAGTAACCACTGGATGGAATTGTGTCATGAATGCAACTGACCCACCCATTTAGCAGACAGTCCCTGGCCTATCTCTCGAGGAGGCTGTGGTTCCATATTGACACAATATGGAGAGGCCTGGGCAGAGCTTCTTCCTCTTCAACCAGAGATTCCCTGGGCAGCCTGTGGTCCTGAGATCTGGGAGCCACAGGCCTCAGTGGGTCCTTAGTGCTCACTTCCTTCTACCATCCCAGACACCAGGCTCTCTGCACTCAAGTGAGCCAGTAGGAGGCAAGGGGACCCTGAATCCTGGGGAAGAGGTTGTCCTGAGAGGGATGCTCAAAGGGTGCTCTGAAAATATGGCGGAAATGGAACCTACAGGAACCTCAGGATGAGCTCAGGAGCTCACAGAAACCAAGTCTTCACTCAGCACTCAAGGATCAGAACATGTGTTCCGCTTTGACATCACCTCTATTACAGTGAACTGTGCACACAGTGCCAGGGGTCCAGTCCACAGTTCACAAAGAAATATGGAGGTGGGGCCAGCATCATTAAGGAGAAAGGAAGGACAAGCAGGAGGGGCCATGGCCTGACATTGAGACAGGGACATGGAGAAAGGAAGACAGAAGAGAGAGACAGGGAGACACCGAGAGAGACACAGAGACACAGACAGAAATACAGAGTCAGAAAGAGACACAGAGACAGACAGGGAGACACACACAAGAGACAGAGAGATACGGACACAGAAATACACAGAGTCAGAGAGAGACACAGACACAGAGACAAAAAGAGAGACACAAAGATAGAGACACAGACAGAAACAGAGAGATATAGACACAGACAGAAATAGAGTCAGAGAGACACAGTCACAGAGAGATATAGCCAGAGACCCAGAGATAAAGGGAGAGACACAGACAAAGGCAGAGAGGTGTAGAGACAGAGACAAAGACAGAGATACGGACAGAGACAGGGGACAGAGATTGTCTAGGGACCCAGGAATTTACATCCTTAATGAGCACTGCAGACAAATGTGCTACTGCTGGGCAAAGGGAATACATTTTGAGAAAGAAAAGCAACAATAAATGCTAGTGAGAGCCAGGCACTGGTGGCTCACTCTGTAATCCTAGCTGTTCAGGAGGCAGGGATCAGGAGAATCACCGTTCGAGGCCAGCCCAGGCAAACAGTTTGTAAGACCCTATCTTGAAAACCCATCACAAAAAAAGGACTGGTGGAGTGGCTCAAGTGATTGGATGCCTGCCTATCAAGTGTGAGGCCTTGAGTTCAAACCCCAGTGCTGCAAAAAAGAATAAACAAATAAATTGTTTATATGCACATATATAATAAATATATATGCTAATGAGGATGGGGGTAGAGGAAGCTTTATACACTGTCCATGGCAATGCAAATTAGTGCAGCCACTATGCAAATCAGTATGAAGGTTCTTCAAAAAACTAAACCTAGAACAACCATATGATCCTGCTAGACCACTCTTGGACGTATATCCAAACGAATGTAAGTCAGATTACAATACAGACACCTGCACATCCATGTTAACTGCAGCACTGTTGACAAAAGCCAAGCTATGGAAACAGTCTAGGTGTCAGAAACTAATGAATGGATAAAGAAAACGTGGTATACATACACAGTGGAGTAGTATTCAGCCATAAAGAAGAACAAAATGTCACTTGCAGGAAAATGGATGGAACAGGAGATCACCATGTTATGATTAAATAACCAGACTCAGAAAGACAAACTTCACTTTTTCTATCTTATGTGTAATCAAAATTTTAAAAAAAGACCAGAAAGCAAAGAGGGACTTTTTGGGGGAAGGGGAACAAGAAGGGTAATGGGAGAGAGAATACATCAAGGCATATTATATAGGCATATGAAAATGTCATCATGAAACCCATTGCTTTGTACAACTGATATATGCTAATAAAAATATTAAATAAGGATTGGAGGAGTGGCTCAAGAGGTAGGGCACTTGCCTAGCAAGCAAGAGGCTCTAAGTTCAAACCCCAGTACTGCCAGAAAATAAAATGATGACATCAAAGTCAAGCAGGGGTGGCAGTGCACACTTGTAATCCCAGCACTCAGGAGGATCAAGAGTTCAACACCAACCTGGACTGAAAAAACAAGGTCAAGAATGTCTTAGAAGAAAGCACTAAAGAGATATCAGCACCCGTGTGAAGAGTCCAGAGGACAAGGAGGAAATCCTGGGTATGGCCTTGGAAAAAGCATGGTATACACACCCATGCACACAATCATGAAGAAGTATGATTTACACACACACGCACACAGTCATATGCATGTGAACAGTACACAACACACACACAAATTCTCACATGCCCAAACATACAACCACACAAACATACAGACACGCAGAGAAGTTCAAACTGCCACATGTACAGACACGCACACAGACACCATGCGTGCAGAGGCAAAAGGCTTCGTTACAATGTCTAGACATGAAAATAAGTATGCACATGTTTTTAAGCTTACAGTTGGTATGAAAACCTCTTTTTTTCCCCATGGTGCTGGGGACTGACTCCCGGGCCTTGGGCATGCTAGGCAAGTCCGTGCTCTACCACGTCAGCCATGCCCCCAGCCCTTTTCTTTGCCTTTTGTTTTTAAGACAGGGCCTTGAACCGTCCATCTTCCTGCCTGCACCTCTGGCCTAACTGGGATTACAGGCATACACCACCATACCCAGCCATAGTATTTCTATGTACAACAAAATTGGAATGCACTTGAGAGATGGATCCTATCTGTCCCCCCACTTCCATGACCACATGTGCGAGGCATTAGCAGCTGGTACACAGAGGGCCTGTAAGTCCCGAGCTGGGAGGAGGGTCTGGACCCTCCCAGTGAAGGTACCTGTGATGGCCAGGCCTGGCCTTGAGGCTCAAGTCACCATTCCTTGGTCCAGCTGCTGGGCAGCAGTCAAGGACACATGGTGAAAAGCCACAGGGGGCAGGTATGGCCAAAGTATGACTCCTCCAAGTCAGTTCCACCTTGAGGATGGGGTGGTAGTCGCACTGCTAAGCAGGTGCACAGTCCCAAGGAGACGGGAGTCATGGTGCACTGTGGCCTCTCCTACTCCCGTGTGCCCAGAAAGGCCAGCATGTTCTGGGGCTTGTGCCTCCTTAGCATCTTGTCCACTGGTCCTCAGGCCAGCAGTCAGGGCTGGCTGCATGTCCATCTTCACCTGAAGGGTAGCCAGGAGCTGCCTGTCCTCCCAAGGCCACTGGAAGCATGGATGCCCACAGCCATCCACAGCTTACAGGCAGCCCAGGCTGACCACTCAAATCTGGCCAGCATCTCCTCCACAGCCCCCAGTGCCAACATATAACACCAGGATTTACAGCGCATCACCAAAGGGTAAACTGAGACTCAGGGAGGACAAGGGTGTGCAGCTCTCACCACGCGACAACCACAGCTGCCCGTCATTGGTCAATTGCCCCTCCCCCAAGCCTGAAGGCCACACAGCCTGGACAGAGACCCTGTGCCCACTCACCTGCTTCTCGTTCTCATCCTCCAAGCGCAGTCGGTCCTCGATGCAGCCCCGGGCCTGCAGGAAGGCCTTCCTCTGTGAGCGCTCAGTCAAGATGCGCACAAACACGCCATACATGTTCACACCAACGAAGAGCAGGGCGTTGGCACCGAGCTACGGGGAGAGAGCAGACACTCTATGTGGGGCCTGGACTGGCCAGAGGGAGCATGAGGGGCAGGGAGGATAGAAGGCTTCCCAACAATCCCACAGCCACCATGGCCACCAGGGCCTCTGCGGGCCCTCCCAGACCCAAGTGAAAGAGACTGGGACCCCAGCAGGTGCAGCACACACGCCTGTGTCCATCCAGGCAGGCAAAGCAGGAATTGAGCAGTACCCAAGTCTAGCATTGTGGGATGAATTCCGTCCCCCTTGAATTTCTGTGTGCCAACCCCAATGCCCAGGACCTCAGAATGCGGCTGTATTTGAAGACAGGCCTTGAAAGAGGTGACTAAGGCAAAATGAGGTCATAAGAGTGGACCCTGACCCAATCTGACTGGTGTGCTTATAAGACAAGATTGGGACACAGACACACACAGAGGAATGACCATGAGAGACCTCAGAAAAGATAGCATCAACAAACCAAGGTAGGGGCCTCAGGAGAAACCAGCCTGCCCACACCTGGATCTTGGACTTCCAGCCTCCCATGAGAGAATACATTTCTGCTACTTGAGCCTCACTCTGTGGCACGTTAGCCCCCAGCAAACCAACACACCTAAGAATAAGAAGTGACCATTTTCAAAGTGACATAGGATGCCCTAGAAAGATTCAGGGGAGAAGAGCTGACAAAAAATAAAAGCCAGAACATGGATTTGGGCATGATATACACACCAGCACAAGAAGAGTAAATGTAGTGTCAGGCCTAAGTCTGAATGGCCCCAGTGCCTCCCCACTGTGACAGCCAGCTGAGGAGGAGCCCTCAGTGAACCCTGGCTCTGAGGCCTGCTGCGAGGGCCAGACCAGAAGGGATGCATGCTTTGGTTGAAATAGGATCCCAGAAACAGTGTCTGTGATGTCCTGGCCCTGACCTGGCTCCAATCAAGACCCCACAGGACTGAGAATAGGCTTCACAGAAACAGGATTTGACTAAGAGGACACTCCTGCCCAGTCAAACTAGCAGGCACAGCCTGCTAGGCTTGGCTCAGCCTCAACATTGCCCAGCAAGTCTCCTGCCTTCTCTGCTCCAACCTCTTGCAGACCACAGTGCCAAAGCAGGACATTTGCCTCTCATGAGCTTCCCAGGACCAGGGCAGGTGCCCTCAGCAGGGGGTGCCCACCTCCACCCAGGGCAGGTTCTTTTCACTGTGGGAATGATGTTCTAGAAGTCGGTCACCAAAGTGGAGAATTTCTGTCTCTGCCTAAACCCAGCATTTCTCCCTCTGCCCTAGGAAGCCACAGGTTCTGAATGTCACCACTCTTCACAAATGCCCCCAGATCTGACGTGTGTTGCACTGTGTGAAACAGAGAACAAAGTGACACAGGTGTCTACTGATAGTTGCTGAGGGAAAGGTGGGGGGGATTCCCATGATCAGGAGGCACTGAAGGACGAGACAGGAGAGGCCTCCAGGAAGGAAAACAGCTAGCACCTGGCTCCCCTGAATGCTATCCCAGAAACAGACGGACTGGCCAGACTGGGGCAGGTCCACAGAGAGAAGACAGAGAAGGATTTGGGCACCTTCAAACTTAAGGTTTGTGAGATGAGCTCTGCTCAAGAAAATTAAAATGGAGATCCAGCCTAAAGACCCCAACCCCCCTGAACAGACAATGCCACAGTCAGGCCTGGTAAGTGAACTTAAGCTTGGCCTGACGTACAAGCACAGACTTTAAGGAGCTGTTTATTGCAAACACCTATTCTACGGGAAAACAGAAGGTAAGCTCAACCAATTGGAGCACTCAATAAACTTAACAGCTGTATGACAAGGGCTTTCCGATAGGGTGGATCAAATAAATTCACGGTATAATGGTAACCAGAGAAATCATTTCCTTAATCACCAACAAATACAAGTATCCAGTGCTTTGTCCAGAACATCAAGATTTTTGGTTCAGAACCTCCCAATTCATGAACTGCATGCAACACAAGTAACTAAAATTACTCTGTGCCTCAGTGTACTTTCCTACTCTGGAAATACCAACCAATGGCCCACAGTCTCATGGGCTCTAGAAATATCTTACAGCCATTCTCAAAGAGATGACCAGGAGGGAGGACATGAAAGATGAACTGCAGGACCCCCCAACCCACCGTAAGGTAAGTGGCCATCCTCTGCCTGGAATGTCCCCTAGTGGGGAGGGGAGCTGACCCTCATAAGGTTAGCTATCCCTCCTGGATGCCACCATCCTGACCTCAGCTTCCTCCAGTGGGACAATGAGAGGGTTGGAGGTGACAAGATGTCCAATGGTATGACTCCTGTGAGGTCCCTGAATGTCATCGTGGTGACCCTGAAATCTTACAATAAGTAATTCAACCAAAGGAAATCAAATTAACTACAGTGGGAGTTGTTCAGGACAGTAGGGCTCTGGGGGCTGTGAGAGAGACAGGTGTCCCAAGTCTAGGAAGTTACATGTCACCCAATCAACTAACAGTAGCAATACCCAGAGCAGCCAGCAGTGGGAGCTGTCTGGAGAACACTGAAGGTGGTGGAGGATGAGGCAGGCCTCACAATGGTCTGAGCATAGGACTGCTTCTAGAACTCACAGAGCCCTAAGCAAGGCCTTCCACTGTCACCAGACCACCTAAGGCCACAGGATGTTGGGTCCCAAACACATGAGTGGAACCCTGACCCTGACATGCAGGTTACATCTCTGGATCCCAGCACTGGACAGATAGGATGTCAAGGACACTATGGGCCCCTGAATATGCTGGGGTAGACATCAGAGCCACCAGGCAAGTGACCAGAGAGGATGGCCACCCCTGGACACAGGAGCCAAGGGCAGCAGTTGTGAGTGGGGAGGCCAGGCAGGCCTGAGGAATAGCAGCAGCTCTCAGGAGGACACACACAGTGTCAAGGTCAAGGCAGATGGACACTTAACAGGAGACCCTGCTGGCCACCAGACACCATGCAGATCTGGAAAGGGCCAGAGATAGAGCAGGGAGCTGGACTACCAGCTGAGCTGAGTCTTGCAGAAGGCCTGCACGGGAGGCCACCATGCACCTCTAAAGGAAGTGGAAGGCAGGCAGACCCGGTCCCTAAAATAAAGCCTATAATTAAGAACAAAATGTCTTTCTTGAGCTCTGTCCACATTGTAACTTCCTTTCTCCCATGGCTTCCTCTTGGAATACAATGGGCTCAGATTACAGGATATGATAACAGAGGGGGGGAATAAGACAGCTGGTGCTTTCACCACCAGGATGATTGACCAGTCCTCCTGGTCCCTGTGTGCTTCAGAGCCCTTGAACGTGGATTGGGCAGGCCATACAGGACCCTCCAGATGCCCCACTCCGACAGCGGCAGCTCAGCTGTCCATTTCAACTAGCTATACACCTGTCCTCCCTAGAGGGGACTGTAACTAACTACCCTCAGGATGTCTGAAGGCATCATCCCCAGCAAAGTCGACACTCCCATGCTGACCACCTGAGAGTCCCTCAAAAGGAAAAAAAGCTCTGTGGGCCAAACACACTTCTCCTGTGAGCCGGGCCTACAGGAAAACCCAGCAAGGGAATGTGTGGATAAGGGCTGGGGGTGGTGGGTGGAACACCTCAGGGAGTCCTCAACTAGCTGTACTTTCTCTTGCTAATCTCTTTAGGTCTGGGTCCTTCCCTGCAGGCTCCTACACACCCATCCTGGAATGGATGTGTCCAAGGTGGGTGGTGTGGTCAAGGAGACCCCTTGTCACCATCACACCAAATACAACATCATCCCCACGTGCACAGGACGCTCTGTGGATGCGAAGGATCATGCTGATGCCACAGATGCTCCTAACAATCCCATCCCAGAGAGAAATGGGAGTTCTGTGTGTGGCACAGCAGAGCCGCTGAGCTACAGGATCTGTGGGAATCAAGGTAGCCAGGAACTGCTCTCCTGCAGCCCTCACCTTCCCTATGCCACCGACCCCATTCTGTAGACAGACACACTGAGGCCAGGAGAGAGGACAGGGTCTCCCAGGCACTATGACCCTGCACGTCCCTCTGCAGAGTCCCCTGGACCCACCTGAACAATGCCTCCATGAGGGGGCAGACCCAACACCTGAACCAGAGATTAACTTTGAAAGGATGGATTTTCTAGCCCCCCTCCTCAGGATGCAGAGCTGGGGCTGGGGGGCCATCAGACAGTGTGGAGCAGCCCCCCACAGGGCCCAGTTCAGAAGCCTGCCTGGGACCTGCCTGACCCAGCAGAGCCAAGAGAAGGGTCCTTCCGGGAAGCCAGGGCTGAGCGAGGCCACACATGCAACGTTCTGGAACAGGGACCATGAGCATCCGGCATTTCTGTGCTCTGTGCCCGTGCCTTGCTGCAGGAGGGGTTGCAGTTGGTGAGGGAGCAGACCAGAGTGGGTAGCTGCCCCCACACTACGCCATTCAAGACCTGCCCTGGGACCTGGGCGCTGAGCCCCAGCAGAGCCAAGAGAAGGGGGGGTCCCTTCCGGGAGCGCCAGGCTGAGCGAGGCCAGCACATGCAGACGTAATCCTGGAACAGGAACCATAGAGCATAGGGCGCAGCCGGCATTTCTGTCGCTCCTGTTCTCGTGCATTGCTGCAGGAGGGGGTTGCAGTTGGTGAGGGAGCAGACCAGAGTGGGGTAAGGATAGAGTTGGGGTAACAGTGGCATCAGGTTCAGCTTAATCCAGAACACAGATGGGCACATGCTCAAATATTTACAGATTAAAGTACAATGTATTTACAGGTAAAATACCAAGGCAAACCACCATCTGAACAATGAGCAGACACTTAAACAAGACAGGAAATGTGACCAGGTCATGTTAAGGGGAGGGTAACAGCATGAGGGGGAGGAAATGAAGAGGGCAAAAGGACAGTGATATGGTTGATGTACATGTATGAATATGGAAACTGAAACCTGTCCAAGTCATTTAAGAAGGGGGAGAAGAAAAGAGGGAGAATAAGGGAGGGATGAACCAAACCTGGGTACATTTAGCATATATGGAAATGTCACAAGGAAACCCATGTA